GGAAATAGTTCGGGAAAATATCCAATCAAAATCTTTGATTATCATATCTAATTACTGAATTATCACATAAAGATCTACATGCGTCAAATCCGCCCATATGATAAATTGGAATTTGAATTTATTACGCCCAAATTTTTATATTACATATCGTTAGTTTCGTCATTCGTCATTTCGTCAACTCGAATTGCCTGAAGAAATGGTTTCGTCATTCGTCACTGACGAAAGTTTCGTCATTCGTTAGTCATTATCAATTGTAGTTTTGTTTCGATATATGCAAATAGACTCTAAATTACGTCATGAAATCAATAAAATTGGGACATGTAATATCTTATCAAAAAAAAAAAAAAAAAAAATGCCAGTAACACTATAAATTTTACTTTAATTTATAATTTTAATTTAATATTTACTATTAGATAGAGGGATTTATCTGACCTAGCACTTTTTGAAAAGTAACCAATAAAATTGGGCCTTTGCATCGAAGTCTTGTGATACGTTATATTTCCAAATAAACTATCGTTACGCATTTTGAAACAACAAAAAACAGTGCAAAAACAAATTGAATTATTATATAATTATTCAATTCAGTAATTATATGTAGTTAAATTCACAAAGGTTATGTCGTATTACAGTTTTTGTGGTTCAACCATTTTTTTTTTTTTTGTTTTTTTTTGCATAAAGCTCGGGCCAATTATCTCAACTCTGAAAATCTAATTTTGAAATACAAAATAGAATATCATTCCTATATTAGATACACATGGCCAAAGCGGCGTTGATCAAGTTAGGTTCACAAATTCTAAGCTCAAAAAAATACTGTAGTTAATTATCAAGTATTTTATAATTGATATTATTTTTAATCTTTATCTAAAAAAATTTTATTTACTCCCACATATTATTGGGAAATTTATTATTCAGGATAAAAAGAAATGAAAAATAAAAAATAAATGAATATAAAAACGAATAACAAAAAAAATTTTTTTTAAAAAAAAAACTATTCAAAGGATAAAAAATAAAAAGTTATTTATAGATGTACATTATATTTGTCAAGGATTGAGATGGAAGAATTATAATTATCAAAAGAATAAAGAGAATTGTAATTAGGAAAATATGAACCAGAAATTAAATTATTTTCATAAAGTTCGAAATTGCAACCACCATTAAATGTGATATTTGGAGAAAAATCAATTGGAATAATTAAAATACCATGCATAACTCCTCGAGATGCATTTTCTTGTTGAAATTCCAATGAAGATTGTACCCCGTTAGAATTAAATAAATTTGTTGAATCGTATGGATCGTAATTTGTTGTAGGAACATAATGCGGTTGCGTTATTTCAAAATTTTCAGATAAAAGATGTTTCGAATTATCATCCAAAGGATCTTTGATAGAGTTCGTAATTTCAAGGATGCCTTTAGTATTGTAATGTTTATTGTAATGTTCAGCAATATTATTATGTCTTTTTGTTTTGGGTCCTCGTTTTTTACCGGTAATTAAAATGCAACATTCGAGACTTTTTTCTGTACAGTTTATACAAGGAATTTCTCCAGAACATTTTGCATGTTTCCTTTGGCAATTTGTGCATGCTTTGGTAGCGTAGGATGTTCTTAATCTTTTAGACATAGTATGTTAAAATAATTTACAAGTATGAATACGAGAACTTGAAATGTGAGAATTTTAAAAATCGTGTTCGATATTTGAAAGATAACTTTTATAATTCTTCCAAATATCTATTTATATGCGCATATATATATGTTTATTTTTACAGTTTAAGATTAATAGTCAATCGGCAAATACAGTCGGGTGTAACAGTGTCATTTCATGTGTCAAAAAAGTCGGATGTAACAGGCGGTAACGGTAAAGAAAAAGTCGGATGTAACGAGCCGTAAAGGAAAAAATTCGGATAAAATAGGCGAAAAAAAAAGTCGGATGCAGTAGTTACAAAAAAGTCGGATGCAGATAAGCGATGAAAAATGTCGGATGCAGGATTCAACTAGCGATAAAAAATGTCGGATGCCAGTAAAAACAAACGACAAAAAAAGTCGGCTGTTAATGTAACAAGCAGGTAACAAAATTGGATGTTGAGTGTAACAAAAAAATTGCCGGATCGAATGTCAATCAAAACTATAAAATAAACCATAAAACTGAAAAAACCGCCGGATACTAAATTGATCATCGGATGTAACATAAATGTTTAATTCTAACGGGGTACAATCTTCATTGGAATTTCAACAAGAAAATGCATCT